CCGTACTCCCCCCCAAAGAAAGCACGTTCATTCCAGACTCGCAATCGCAAACACCCCTCCCCACATAATGCACCAGTGCACCACTCGACCTTCCAAGATCAGTACACGGAAGCGAATCCCGAGGTTTCTTATCCCATATGCACTGTGTTGTTGCTTGTGGTCCTGCCAAAAAAAGGAAATGCGTCATTCGATCCTCAGTCTACATGTAGAACAGGCGGGGATCGACCCAGGCGTGTGTGTGTGTGTGTGTGTACTCTGGACAACCACTCTTCCACAGTCTCCACCCGCATACTTTACCATGCTAAAGAGAAAGAAATACCTGTTCCACTGCAAATACAACGTTGTGCTAAAGATAACCCACGCACACACACACACACATAGACTAAAGATAACCCACACACATACCTATCTATCCACCAGTACCTAATCCAAGCCTCATTCTGCCTTGAAAGTCTAAGCCTCACTCCTCCCATCTTCCCCCCACACACACACTTCGAACTAGCTTCAAATAGAACATGTATGCAAGAGAGAAGGAGAGAAAGAAAGAAAGAAAGAAAGAAAGAAAGAAAGAAAGAAAGAAAAAAGGGCAAAGTAAAAGCGCTAGACGTGCTGTACACAGCCTACTTGCACGTGCAAGCTTTTCTTTGGAGAATAGTGAAACACACACACACACACACACACACACACACACAAAGTCCGGTCTTTGTGGAATTGGCTTATGTGCTGTGCTGTGCTGCTGATGTTGCTTGAGGCAGGGGACAAAGAAGAAAAGAAAAAAAAAGGGAGGGGGGGGGAGAACCAACGACGGTGTTGGTAGATTAGGTCATATGCTTGCTGCTCTATGATAAGGATGGCTGCGTGAATTGCGATGGAGAATGAGTTGTGTATATTATGAGATGCAACAAAAAAGTTAGGGGTTTGGTAAATCTGGTGCCTGTTTTTTTTGTTCTTTTTGCTTTTGCTTTTCTGTAACAGTAGTGGTGGTAACGCACTGCACACACACACACACACATATATCCTGGGTTAGGTAAAAACAGAGCGGGGGCTTGCAGGAACAGAGAAAAAAAAGGTAATGACAGGGGCCTGCGTACAATTACGCATTGGGAGATGAGATTTATTGTACAGTACTGCTACATAGGCTGGGTTAATCTGCAAACGTGGTGCCTCGGCCGATGCAGATTGTCATGTCAAGGTGCACTGTCGCTCCAACTGTGCCGCACGCGCGTCATCAGCCGTAGTGATCAAATGCCGTCATAAGACTTGTTGCTCGCAGACTTTTCCTCTCCTCATTAACACCCATCATCTCTCTCAAATGTTTTGAGCATCTGCTAACATTCACCTACTTAGATGAAATCGCCGCCTCCAAAGCCTCCAAACGGATTTGGTGGCCGGCCGCCGAAACCTCCAGGTCCGCCGAAACCATCACCACCTCCACCGGGAAAGCGGGGGACTCGTCCTCTATCCTCTGCTCTCGGATCTCCAGGTCCGAACGTATCGTATCGCGCGCCCGGAGGAGCCATTGGATCGTAGCCGCCTTGTCCACCTTGACCACGAAATAGCGGATCGTCGAATGTAGGGTGCATACCGCCGCCACCGAAACCACCTGGTCTTGGTAGGCCACCTGCTAGATGTGGTCGTAGAGGATCGTTAGGCCCGAGTCCCTGTGGATACAAGTCGTCATGACCAATGTTGATGGGATTTCGATTATCTCGGAGACGGCCTGGCCCACGGTTTAGGTCCAGTTCATCGTCGAAGCCGGGTATGGGTTCAGGCAAATGTCGGCCGGATCGTGGTGGAGCGGCAAGGGGATCATTGAATGGGTGGGGTCGCGCGGGGTCAGGATCAGCCGGTGGCTGCCTTGGATTAGGAGGATCACTTCGTTGGGGATCCTGTCGATCTGCTGTGGGTGTACGCTCCTGATCTGTTGTACTTTCCTCATAGCCAGGCTTGTTCAAACGTGGTGCCAACTTCTGGATCACAGAGATTTTGAGCAGCGAGCCAAGATCGTTCAGCCGGCCGGCCGAGATGAAGAGATCTTGCAATTTCTGTGATGCATCTTCTATTGAAGTTCCTTCAGGAACGCTGAAGGGTAATTGTGATTCAGAGAGGTAGTCCTTTGTGGTGAGCTCGAAATGTGTCGTCTTGTCGTCGCCCACGGCCAGGGCAAAGACAACGGCCTTGCCTCCCAATCTGTTGACCTTGACGAGAAACTCCATAGCTGACTGTGCGTGTGCATATCGAAATGCGTACGAGGAAGAAGCGTTCCATTGTACAGGTAGTTCTTTTGGGTCTTGGGCGTCTGCATGCGCTTCTGTGAGTACCTAAGTTATGATGGGTAATCAGACAAGTAGAGGACATGAGTACTTACCTATGCGCTCGTCTTCGCCCAGTCCGATGAGACGGAAACCGACAGCGAGCATGCCAGCGTGAACTGCCAATGCCACGGCCTCTGTTCCGTTCTTGAGCTGTGATGCCTCTCCTTTAGGTAGCGAAGTGGCCATGAACAAGGCGAGCGAACCTGCGCTCAGCGGGTTGCCCGTTGTATTTGTTTGGACCATGTTTGGGGGGTTTCAATCTTTGCTGCAGTTGGTGAAGTTGTGTAGGATTTGTGTAGTAGCAGGAGAATGACAGAGAGATGGGATGTGTGGGGTGATTAAAAGAAATGGTGGTCGTCAAGGTTCAAGTATGGTTCCCGATCAGGCAGCGGAGTTGGGAGCTGAAGCTGTCAAAAGAGAGCCAATGACGCAGGGGCGGGGTCTGGGGCCTGCTGCAGCTGCATCGCCGCACCTCACACTCACGATATCTGTTCATGCACGGTGCTGCAGCATAGCTCAATCAGCTTTCAGATAGAATATTCAATGACATCACCAAAGGTACAAAGTGTTGCGCACAAACAGGAATACATATATTGCTGTACAACAAAGCTGCAAAGTATGCGCCGGTACGTCAGTGTGGCCTATGGCACCTCCCAAAGACAAGGATACGCCGGTCCACGGGGAATAAAACGAGACCCCCAAACGCCAGAGGCAATGCACCAAGACACCACGAACACATTCACAAATCAGATCAGAAATTCCATAAAGCGGGAAGCCTATTCCGGTAGGTCTTGGGAATTGCTTGCTGCAAGCTCGTTCGGTTCAAGAAGACTGTTCATGTTAGCAAAAGTTAATTAAGAACAAATAAACATGGGTCTTACGAATATTGCTTATACAGAGTGCCTTCGCCCCCCTTTTCGAGGTCGACGTTGAAGACGTAGTAGTTGCCTTCGCTAGTGACAACCATGATCTGAGGCCCATTGTTGTTGAGTGCTACCACATTCCTTACGGGGCCCGACGACGAGCTGTTGGGAGAACGCGGTATCTTGACCCAGGCAAAGTCGCGCGACGGTTCCCAAATCTCCGCTACTGCGTTGGGCAGGTACCCTCCCACAGTAGCAGCGAATGACTTTCCGACCGTTTGGGATGTGCGGCGTATCAAACTTCCAAAAGTGGGGTTGATTGCTTTCCGTTCTGGAGGCGCCATGTCTGCTGTACTAGCACCGAATTCGTCAGATGCCTCTTCGCTTGCTAGACTGCTATTTCGCTGATGGGCAGAACCCCCTGTTCGCGTAGGTCCCGAAGACACGCTATTGCTCCTGCTATTGGGCGCACCCAGACGGAAGATATGCACCGTCTCCGTTGCAGAGGAGACGCTCAATAGTGTTGAGGCCGAGTTGAACGACATGCTGTATATCCTTGCTGGTATGGAGCCTCTTCTAAACTGGTATAGTTTCTGCGCATCTGGGATTGAGAAAACGCGAATAATGGTGCCCTTTTCCGATGCTGTCGCGAGCAGGGTACCATCGCTGTTGAGCGCAATGCACGACAACGGAGAGTTGTGTGCTTCTATGACGTTGACTGCTTCCATCTTGGTCGCATCATATATCAACACCTCTCCACTTGTCGGCGCGATGTGATCAGTCTTGGGCGGCGCATGCGAGGGTGGTTGGAAGGTGGCAGGTGCAGCTTTGGTGGGTAGTGGGAACACGAGGTAGTTGTTTTCTGACGACGCAGAGAGGGCGCATATGGCTACACATGTTAGCGACTGTGAATCATTTGGCTGAGCCGTCTTACCATTAGGGTTCGGTGACGTCTTCTCAGTTTTGAGCATCTGCATATTGCTTATGTCGTAGATATAGAGCTCTGATTCCAGGACGACAACTAGGCGCTTCCGGTTCATGCGCATGGCGAGGATAGCCGTCCTAAAGGTCATTTCGCATATCGTGGAGTGTCTCTTGGCCTTGTCAGTGCCTAGCCAGGACAGTGCAGATTGCCATACAACAAACCTTTGTGTTTTGTATCCGTAGCACTCGGGGCGACAATGTGAGCGCGACTAGCGACGTCGAGAAGAGCATCTCAAGGCTGGAAACATCTCCTTCGCGCGACTCGGACTGCTTGTTAAACGGGTCGGTTGTGTATATGCGGTACCCATTTGTGGTGCCTGGTGAGTAACTACGTCAGTTTCGATACCGCCACAGGTGCGCACACGACATACCAACGCCCAGGTGGCTGTGATCCTGGTTGAATGTAACAAAGTTCATGGCTACAGAGGGATTCCGGATGTACCGCTCTAGGTGTTGTGGACGCTGTGTGAAAGTAGTTGTCGCTGTAGCTGTAATAGCTGTGAGCTACCCAGGTGACGGTCAAGTGGAGCTTGGGGCAGCCGTTTGTGAGCGGTCAGCCCTGTGGGCGAGGTGTAAAGTATCCTCGTGTGCCGAAGCGATGGCGATGAAGTAGCTGATATGCCCGTATGGAGGTTGCAATGTGCAGGAGGAGATGCCTAAAGATTATTTGCAACTTGTTTGTAGTTGCTTCCCACCTGCCGGTCATGGTTCACGCGCATGCAGGGATCCCGACGTCAGCCTCAGCCCCACGTTGTGGCTGAGGCACCACCAGCCCAGCAAAAACGTTACTCTTCTCAGTAACCATCCCTCCACATTACGAGCAACCCCAACCCCAGACATGGTGACAGATGCCGGTGCGCGGCCCAAGAAGGTCTCCGCTAAACGCAAGGGCAATCAGAAGTCTCTGCGCGAAAGAAGAGATATTGACATTATGAATGTGAGGCCGTCACCACCGCCACCTTTTCCCCAGTCACGGGATTGACGTAGCCCTAGACAAATGATAGTAGCATTGTATCTAAGAGAAGCGTTTCCAAACTGTATCTTAGCCACGAACCGGACTTTTACGAGCCATTTGTGCCAAAATTTGTTCGTCGTAGTATGTGGTTCACCCTCTTGGTGGTTTAATCAAGCATACTGATCATATCCAAAAAAAGACCCGCTCATAAACCGCGGCTATTGGCTGCGAATGCACGCCATTGAGCAAGCAGTCCATCGGTTTCTGGAAGAAGAAAATGGCAAGTCAAAAGTCGTTGTAAATCTTGGATGTGGATAGTGAGTAAGACATTCGGCATCAGTTCATCTTATGCCAGACAGCACTGACTCTTAGGAGTGATCCCTTGCCCTTCCAGTTCTGGCACAGATATACCTCTCTCGCACAATCGGCTACCTTTGTAGATGTTGATTATCCGCAATTGATGGAGAAAAAGCGGGATCGCATGCTAAGCAATGACCTCCTTCGAAACGCCCTGTTGAAGACCAAGCTCCGTCAGACTGAGCAGCCTATACTTCTTCGCAGTGACAGTTATATGGCGCTAGGCTGTGATCTCAAAGATCTTGCAACACTCGAAAAAGTTCTTCGAGCCGAGTTTGATATTTCGGCAACTTCAATTTTATTTGTTGCCGAAGTGTCTGTGACTTACATGCCGCTCAAGGACTCTGATGCACTGATACAGTGGGCCAGCACCATCGGAGACGGTATGTCGGCTCGAAGTCCCAATTGAAGGAAATTACTGACCATCATAGCCCGCTTCTGTATACTAGGTAAAACAAGGTCCTGCATATCTGTAAACACCCCGTCCCGCACTGACTCGATGCCGTCTAGAACAGTATCTTCCTCAAGGCCCAGAACACCCCTTCGCTAAAACTATGCTCTCTCACTTTGACAAATTGCAGGCGTCAATCAAAGCGGTTAAGCTACATTCATCACTGGATCAACAAGCAGCTCGGTTCCGCAACGCCGGTTGGCCAACGCTTGTCATGGCTCGTAATCTGTGGGACCTCTGGTCCGATGATTCGTTTACCCCTTCTAGCCTCAGACGTACGATCAATGCCACTGAGCCGTTTGACGAGTGGGAGGAATTCGCGCTATTCGGCGGCCATTATTTCCTGCTTGTCGCCTCCAACGTGGAGACACAGGGGTCAAATGAGCCGATCCACCAGGAGATAGCCACTAAGAGTGTGAATGACACAAACGCGGGGAGTATTACCCTGCATTGTTGGAAGCAGCACACTGATGCTACCTTGACGCCGCGCCGTTTCTCGGCGGCTTTCACACTGGACAACGGTACAGTGGTCCTTCACGGAGGACAGGGAACGCAAACCCGTCTCGCTGATATGGACATGCTGAGACAGGAGGACTCTGACCAGGATCGTGCCATTCAACCTGGTAATCTGCTACCTACTGCACGCATGTGCCATGCAATCACATTGATGCAAGATGGTGAGGCGTTGTTGGTCGGAGGACGTGGGTCACCCACCCAAGCATGCGCAGATTGCTGGCTCTTCAAGCATGGAACTTGGACCAAAGTAGATGATCTCGTCCCAGCTCGTTATCGTCACTCAGCAGTTGCTGTCCAACTAGGATCTGGCGAGGCACAGACGCATGGAGTGCTAGTATTTGGCGGCAAAGCCAGTGACGGCACAGTACTTGACGCCAACGATTACTGTGCTCTGTGGACTGCCAACACCGGCTGGCACAGCATTTCCGTCGACGGAACGCACCCGTCTCCACGTTTTGGTGCCGCAACGTGTACGATAAACTCAGCCAGAAACTGCGGGTTGCTCACAGGAGGCGGCAACGAGAGCGGCGTGGTTGTCGACGACGCCTTATGGGAGTGGTCCATTTCCGCCACACCAACACCACGAGTGAGCTTCAAGGACCGCACCAATGACATGCGCAGTAGCCTGACAAATTCTGCATACGCGCGTATAGGCTCTGCTTTAGTCCCCTGGAACGATGCTCTGTTGATGATTGGAGGTGTCTCGAAGAAGAATATCCACAGTCTATCAGACGACTTTCTGCTCTTGACATGCAAGGACACGATCATCCAAGTGGAGCATCCCAGCGTGCACGTCTTGCCCCACACGTCGTGGCCTTTGCTAGTGGGTGTAGGAGCCGTTTCACCCTCTCGAGGCGAGATTGTGCTTGCAGGAGGAGGAGCGGTATGTTTTTCGATGGGCAGCTACTGGAACCAAGATCCGATTTCCATCCTCCCTGGCGCTACGCAAGGGGCCAAGTCGTGGCGTCGTGTTGGGCCGAGTCAGGCTGGCAGCGGCACAGCAGGCACAAAAGGCACAGGACAAGCGAATGCAGCTGAAACAAGACGTGATGGTCGTCGAGAGAAGGCAAGCGGGAAAAAGAGGCCTGTAATGGCGGCACGTACGGCCGAGATCCAAAGGACCCAGGTCAGTTCGTCAGATGACTTTGCGAGACTCGTTGCCTCCTCGAAACCCGCCATCATCACCGGCCTTGACATTGGCCCGTGCACAGATCTTTGGACTCTGGACTACCTGAAAGAGAAAATTGGTCCAGAAAGGGAAATCGTAGTTCATGAGTGCTCATCCGATCGGATGACTTTCAAGGACAAGAATTTCTCCTACGTGAAGAAATCCACCGCCGACTTCCTCAACTGCATCGCAAAAGGCTCCCATGAATATTTGCGTGCTGTATCATCGAGCCAACCAAACAAGCTACCTACAAAACTCGAAGAAGATTTCCCTAGCATTGCTGATGATTTCAGAATCCCAGATGTATGTGACGTAGTTAAGGAAAACTATCACAGCTCTCCGCTCCGCATCTCAGGCCCAGTGTCTCTATGGCTACACTACGACGTCCTATCCAACATCCTATGCCAAGTCCACGGCAAGAAGACACTGTTTCTCTACCCACCCTCTGATGTTTCCCTCTTGGACTTCCCACCGGGAGGTTCCTCATCAAACACCGATGTCCTGACATCCAAGAACCATAAGCTACGTCGTACACACCCGCACGTAGCGTCTCTCGCGCCCGGAGATATCCTCTTCATTCCTCCTATGTGGAGTCACACGGCGACGCCAGAGGATGGTGTTAGTGTCGCGGTGAATGTGTTTTGGAGAGGCCTGGATAAGGGGTATGCGGCGGGCAAGGATGTCTATGGGAACAGGGATTTACAAGCCTACGAGAACGGGAGGAGGGATGTAGAAAAGATTTTGAGAGCATTCAAGGATATACCAGGGGATGTGGCGAGGTTCTATCTTGAGAGGTTGGCAGGGGAGATTTTGGAGAAGGCACAGAAAATCGGCGGGGAGAAGGATGTGAAGCATGATGAAGAGAAAGTGTAGGTCAATTGAAAGAAGCTACGATATGTTGAATGTAGAAAATATCTAAATTTCTCCCCATACTTCCTTCCAACGTCCCTCATCCAACTCAATCGGCCCATCAAACCTCCCAAACCTTGGCGGTCCCGTCCCGGGCTCAGGAAGACAAACCCACTCCCTCACACACCCAGGCACCTCCATCTTACTATGACTTACACAAAGCAACGCCTGATGCTCCTGTAGCCCCTTCACCGCTCCATCCCCTCTCCCCGTCTCTACAACTCTACCCCCCTCATCCATCTCCCTGCCCTCCCCCCAACTAAGAAAAGCCAAACACTTATCCCTCACCGATTCATCCATGCCACTAAATGCCTCATCCAAAATCACAATATCAGGATTCCGAATCGTAGCCCGCAGAAACAAGATGACGCGTTGAGCGGAAAACGAAATCTCGCCAAACAACGTCTGCTTCGCCCATTCAAGCCCCCCATTGCTCTCCTTCTGGCTTTGGAAACTCGGTCGGATCTCCCGCTCAAACCACTTCAAAGCTGCCTCTACTTTCCCTTCCGCCCCGTCATCGAATCTTGGCCGTGAAATAGGCGTTTCGCTCCACGCGCTTTCCAGCGCCTCTCTCACACTCAGTCGCTTGGGAAACAGCGCGTGCACTTCTGGACTCGCATGTCCCATCCGTGCTTGGATCTCGAAGATCGAGATGCCTGGAACGCCTGGGGAGGGGAGCCGCGAGCGCTGGAAAAGTTTGATGGGGGCAGAGTAGGTTTGGGGGTGGTCGGATGTTACGAGGCTGAGTAAAGTGGTTTTGCCGGAGCCGTTGGCGCCGAAGATGCCCCAGCGGGATCCGCGGTTGACGGTCCAGTGGAGGCCGGGAGTGCTGGAGGAAGAAGAAGAGGAGGAGGGTTGTTGCCAGTCTCCTAGGACGGAGTTTGCGCCGTAGGAGATGCGGACGCCGTTCATTTCGACGAGGGGTTCACCGGGGGATGGGGTGGATTTGTCGGTTTTTTCGTAGCCGTCACGACTTAGGACTGGTAGTGTATCTCTTGCGATCTTTGGGTCTTTTTCAGATAAAAGGCGGCCTACTTCCTGGACTTCCTTTGCACTCGAGCCTTTTGCCCTGGCAGTGCCACCTTCCTGGAGAGATTTATACTCGTCTTTCAGAAATCCCAAGACTTCTTCTTTAGTGCCTAACCGTCCTACTACTCCATCTTCCCCAGCATACACAAGATGCGTAACCCACTCAGGAATCTCATCCTGAGGCCTCAAACTAAGCACAATACGCGGAGCATTCGCTTCAGCCAAGCGATGCAGAACTCCAGAAATATGCTTCGTCACAATCGGATCCAAACCAACTTCACCCTGTCATTAGCGAATCATCTTACAAATTCCACTACGCAGCTAGACTTACTAAAGGGCGCATCCAAACACAGCATCTCAGGTCCACTCAACAACGCCTTTGCAATCCTCGCTCTCCTCGACTGCCCATTACTCAGCATACTAACCGGCTTCTCAATGAACCTTTCCAGCTCCAAATCCCGCATCACCCTTTCCATATCCTCCGCTCGGATGCTCTTAGCCTTCAGCTCTTCTTCCCCAGGATTCATCGTCACAATTCCCGTGAGGTAGCGCTGGACTGTGAAATCCGTTTCTTCCTTTAGCGACTCGTACCGCGCAGATAGGTACGCGCCGCCGAAAGCTTTGCGCTCGACGTCGAAACCGACATATTCGATTGCGCGCTCGTGGAAGCGGAGATGCGGTTTACCTTCTGCAATAGTGGGGCTGAGGAGGTAAGGGAATGAGCGTGCTGTAGGCGGGAAACATAGATATTGGCCTCGCAGGATTTGTAAAAATGCTGTTCGGATATCTGATGATGGGCTTAGGATGGCCCAATGCTGGTTTGGCATTGAGGAGGAAGGTAGGGAGATGGATAGATCGGGAAAGAGAGCCGGATTTGCATTCGAATTTCCATGGTTGAGTTTCGAAGAAGGATGGTGACGGTAAAAGGTGCCGTTGTTAATTTTCACAATGGGCGGGTCCGAGTATAATCTCCGTGAGGTATGAAATCTCGCACGTCTTGTTGCCGCCAGGAATAATGCTGGCGTCCTTTGCATGTCGAAATCAGTGTTGGTGATGGTGGCCTCATCATGATCCGATGTTTTGGCGTTGAGCGATGTTCGGTGTGCGGTGGTAGCGGAGAAGCGTCCGATTCCGCGACTGAGGTTGGGATGACGTTCGCGACAATCTTATGCCGAGGTACGCGGTAAGTAAGTCGCGGTCACGTTCCGCTGTAGAAGCCGTTCACTGCTGTCGTCTTGCTGGGTGTTGCATTTATACAAATCTGCAACGATGCTTCCGAGCTTGCAGCCGTCTAGACCAAAGGTGAGCCGCCCTTCTTCAAGTGAGCATGGGTTATTCTTCCTTCTAGCTACTCACACGACATAGCCTCCACAGCAGTCCCCACAGCCAACGTACGCGCAACAACAACAACGTGTCGCCCATTCCTCACAGCAAAACATATCGCAGCCCTCAAGCCTCCCTCTAAACCCTCCAAAGCCGCGTTCCCAAGTCGAAGCCATGCCGCCTTTTGGCCCTCCGCAAACACCCGCATCATTCTTCACGCCCGTATACGACAGCGCAGTACGGCATCCGGTCTTCTTCACTCAGAACTTGAAGAAACCCCCGTTTCCTCTACCACAAGTTGCGAGTCAAGGCTGTAACCCGGTGGCAAGCGGGTACATCATGGAGCAGAGGAGAGTAGAGACACCGGGTAGGACAAAGTTGTAATGGTAGATACAACCAAACTGCATGCATTTGGATGGCGTTGTGGAGTATTGAGCGACTTATTAGGATTCTTTTTAAAGAAGAGTAATGTTTTACACGTATAGAAAGCCGGTAAAATCCACCTCCACGATATCATCCTTGGCTTGTAAACTTCCAAGGGCACTATTAAAGCTTCGTGTGTTCGAATAGAAAGATCTGCTTTATGGGGTGATGGGTATCTCTAGCAATCCGACTTGACCACAGCATTCACCAAACGTTGCCACGTTGTACTTTGAACGTCCCGTCCCGATTCCATGCTTAGTCTCTACAAGCTTTGCCTGCCTACAAGATTACTGGGTAGCAGTGCGGTAGTGATGACACAGCCCAATGTCACACCTCCAGCCAGGTATAGAACACTATTAATATCTCTCCCTGCTCCCCCACCAGCATACAAGTGCTGTGCAATCAACGGACTAACAATACCGAAAAGTCTGCCCCAGAAGCTTGCGAGTCCACATGCAGTGCCTCGGATGGGCGCTGGGAAAGCTTCCGGCGTCCATCCGTACAACACCGAGTTGAACATAGACTGGAAAAAATATTCCATGATGTTGAAGCCTATGTTGGACGCCGCGGAGTTGACGCTGCTGAAGAGAAAGATGGAGATGCCCATGAGGGCTGAGGAGACTACCATAGTCCACTTGCGGCCTACTCGTGATGCATGGTAAGACAGAGTTCCAAGCACTACTCCAAAGACTCCAGGAAGGTAGATGAAGATGTATGATCGGTACGTATAACGAAGGGATAGGTCCAGAGCGCCATTCTTCACGGCCAGGATTTGCGGGAGGTAGGTTCCTGAAGTGAAGTTAGCGACGTAAGTTCGAGTGCAGATGGCTGCGTTGCAGTTACGTACCGGCGACAGTAAAACCCCAGTAATCGCAGATATATGTCAGCCAAACAAGCAAGGTCAATCTTGTCATCTGGGCGCTTGAGAAGAGGATCTTGAAGCGATCGCCTTCCAACTTGAGCTTTTCAGTCCACGTAGATTTGAGTTGCTTAACGCCACCTCCAAGTATAGGTGCAGTGCCTCTATTGGATTCAAACGCATGCTCCAGGAGCTCAAGATCTCCCAGAGTTAGAGTGCATTTAGTCTTGTTGTACTCAGCTATCTTGTGTAGCACACTGACGGCCTCGGCGTCTTTGCCTCGATAGATGAGGAACTTGGGCGACTCTTGGAAGTCGAAGAGGACCGAGCGCAGAACAAATACCAAGATTGTGACCCCACCTAGCGTGAACAGTAGGTATCGCCACCCCATGTTATCCTCTTTCAAGCAACATGCTTCTCCTAGGCCGACGGCGGTACAAGCAGGGAGTGCACGGTCTCCTTCCGAGAAGTTTGGACTGCAGGACCAGTTTGGAATGTAGCCGTAGGCTAGGACTGAGCATATGACGACACCGATCGGCTGGAAGATGGAGAGAAGAGGAAGAAGGTAACGCTTGTTCTGTGGGGTGGCTTCTAGTGTAATGGTCGTATCGATGGGAATGTTGCCTCCGATGCCGAATCCAGTAAGAGCCGTAAGGACCAAGATGGTATTGTAGGTGCTAGGAGTGCCGATGCAAGTCCCGAAAACACAAGCAACGAAGACGGTCAGGTTAAAAGAAGATTTTCGCCCAATCACATCTACTAGAACACCCCAGACGAAGGCGCCAGATGTAAGTCCGACCGAGAAGGCGGTTGAGAGTTTGCCGGTCTCGTCAGGCCCGAACCCAAACTCCTGCTGCATTGGAGACATGACAAGTCCAAACGCTTGTGCCCACATTAGGTCAATCATGTAGCCAAAGCCACACAAGGCCCATATTGACCACTGGTAACGACCCATACCCATGAGATCAATCTCATTATTGATCAGTTCACACTTCTTCTCGTAGAGTGAGATGCCAGTGTCTCCCAGCTCTTCAGCCGAAGAACTCGGACTTTCTAGATCGCTGAGTCTACTGAGAACATCTATCTTTTCTTTATCTGCGTCTGAGAGACCTCTTCCTATCTGTGGAGTTTCAGGAGAATCTGTGCTATCGAGTGTGGAGTAGGAGGAGAAAGAGGAAGAGGAAGCAAGGGCAATACGAGGATTCAAAAGAGCCTCGTTTTCACTGGCTTCATGGCTTCTTTGCGACATGGTCGGGTATCAGTTCAAGCACTTCAAAGATGGCAGTCTGGAGGAGTGTCATATTTTTGGCGGCTGTCCTCTTGTATGTGTATTGTGGGCTTACAAAGGGCGGTACCAGGCTCCGCTGTGCCGCCAGAGGACTAGGGTGAGGGTGGAAGTAGCTAAGCGATGCAGATAAGCAGCACTGATTGCGCGAGCAACATAGTTTGAGTGTCTAATTGTCAAGGAGTTACACCCATGGCGTTTGTGCAGACGTTGGGTACGAGACGCTAACGGGTACCGGTGCGCATTCGGTAGATCAAAGGGCCCAACGGTTCTGCCTGCTGCCAATAGACGTGAGACATGGCAGGTTTCATTCCGAGGACGCTGACAAGAGATCGGATCGAAGATGTGCAATATCGATGGAGCACCTTATGAAAGATGATCGAAATGGGAGTTGTTGGAGAGGGTTTCAGAGCGTGATTACGGTGGATCGCCAGGAACATAGCCGGCGATTTCAGCTGAAAAGGCAAAGCAGCAGATTGCGCAATCGTCTCGGTGCTACAAGATGTTGCGCCGCTACTTCTCTATCTTCATCTCTCGCTGCGTCCGATTGTAGTCAAAGACGCAATACGTCATTGTGCGTCTCGAGTAGTCAATTGCCGTGGCCAAGAACTGGTATGGGCGTTTAAGAAAGCGCATGACACTTCAAGATCGCGATGGTTTAGGCGGCTATGTCGTTTTAGGACGCACACATCAATACACAGTGCTACAGGCTTTGCAGATTGAGTGGGGGGCATGCAGGATTCCGTTAAGGGGGCGCAGTCCGAGGACACATCGTGATCATGATGGAAATCTGAAATCTGATCGGTGAAGGATAGCAAAGTCAGACGGGGCGGACGAGAATTGGGAGAAATGGGTGTCTGGTGTGTGGCACGTGAAGATGTAGTCCGTCTCCAGCCCAAAGGGTCTAGCTCCACTTTACGTTCGCCAAGATGGTAGGTCGGGGCCCGTGCGTCGCGATACTGGAACTTTTTTTTCTGGGACATTGGAATGAAAAGTACAAGCCAAGACAACTTCGAATTCACATTCTTTCACAATGGCTCCCCGTAGAAAACGCCAGCGCCTTTCACTAGATGGCGCAGAGGCTGTCACCGCGACCGCTGACGCCGACCAACCCTCCAGCAATGCCGCAGCTGCAGCGACGGCAAAGGAAGTCGCGCGTAGACAACTCTTCGTTCGCAGCCTCGCACCCGAAGTCACCAGCGAAGACCTGACCGAGTACTTTTCCGAGTCCTACCCGATCAAGAATGCGCTTGTTGTTTTGGACAAAGAGACGCGCGAGTCCAAGGGCTATGGCTTCGTCACATTCGCCGATGTCGAAGATGCGCAAAGAGCAAAGGAGGAATTGAACAACACACAGATCAAGGGCAAGAAGATTAAGGTCGATTTCGCCGAGGCCAGACAGCGTGAGGGCGAGGAGAAGCGACCCACGGCCGCCGACAGGATCAGGGCAGAGCGCGAACAACAGGTCAAGGAAGCGCAAGTGCCCAAAATCATCGTACGAAACCTTCCTTGGACCATCAAGACACCGGAGGATTTGGAGAAGCTCTTTAGAAGCTACGGCAAGGTCAACTTTGCAAATCTACCAAAGAAGCCCAATGGCGAATTGAGGGGATTTGGCTTCGTGTCTCTGCGAGGAAAGAAGAATGCAGAGAAGGCAATGCAGGAGCTGAATGGCAAAGAGATCAGCGGCAGGCCCATCGCTGTTGATTGGGCTGTCGATCGTGATACTTGGCTGAATCTGCAAAAAACCGGACAAGAAGGCGACCCTAAAGCAGATGAAGACGAAGACATGGATCACGCTGAAAGCTCAGTAGTTAGTTCTGATGAGGATGATGACGAGGATGGCTCGGAAATGGACAGCGAAGACGACGAAGACGAGGACGAGTCGGACAACAGCGACATGGACGACGAATACATTTCCGAGGACGACGAGGAAGGTGGCGTCGAGTTGCATCAACAAGACAATCGACCAAAGCGCGAGGACTATACAGTCTTTGTACGCAACGTACCATTCACTGTAGATGATGAGCGTCTGAAGGAACACTTTCAGCAGTTTGGAGGCATACGGTATGCGCGTGTTGTCGTAGACCGCGACACCGAACGGCCTAAGGGCACTGCATTTGTTGCATTCTTCACCGAGGAAGATATGGTCAACTGCTTGAAGGGTGTCCCGCGTGTCAAGTTGCAAAAGAAGGATCTGAACAAGTCGGACGGCTCCACCATCACCGTCACACATTCAGTACTAGAAGACGAGGATGCCGACCCTACCGGCAGATACACCATCGACGGTCGCATTCTACAAATCTCCCGTGCGGTAGACAAGAACGAAGCTAGTCGTCTCACAGCTGAGGGTGCAGCTTCGCGCTTCAATCGCGACAAGGACAAGCGCCGTCTCTATCTCCTCTCAGAAGGAACCATCAGTTCCAACTCGCCGCTGTATCAAAAGCTCTCGCCTTCTGAGATCAAGATGCGCGAGGAGAGTGCGACGATGCGCCGCAAGCAGATCCAAGAAAACCCTTCGCTTCATCTCTCACTTACCCGTCTCTCGGTTCGCAATATCCCCCGTAGCATCACTTCAAAGGACCTTAAGCAGCTCGCCCGTAGTGCTGTCGTCGGATTCGCTGCTGATGTCAAGGCTGGTAAACGACAAAAACTCAGCAAGGAGGAAGTCATTCGTGGCGGTCAGGAGATGTTGGTAGCGGAGAAGATGCGTAAGAAGAAGGGCAAAGGTATTGTCAAGCAAGCCAAGGTCGTCTTCGAGACACCTGCAGGTAGCAAAGTTCCGGAGGAAACTGGCGCGGGAAGGAGTAGAGGATATGGTTTCATCGAGTACTACACTCACCGTAATGCCTTGATGAGCCTTCGATGGCTCAACGGACACGCTGTGGACTACAAGATCAAGGCAGACCCTACACCAAAAAGCAAGAAGCAGGCACAGGAAGCACTAGAAGACAAGCGCAAGCGTCTCATCGTAGAGTTCGCTATCGAGAACGCGAATGTCGTGAACAGACGTACAGACCGCGAGGAAAAGTCCCGAGAGCCCCGAAAGCCGAAGACAGGCGGCGAGCCTGATGAGGACGAAGCCCAGCCAGACAAATCAAAGGGCAAGAAGCGAAAGCGAGACTCAAGCGCCGGAGACAAAAAGAGTAAGGGCAAGGCCACCGACAGATCGAAACAGGGTACGGGTGCGGAAGCGGGCCCTGCATCCGCTAAGAACAAGGGCAGTGATGAGAAACTCGCGCTGAGAACCAGGATCATCGCAAAGAAGAGGCAAGCCCGCAAGGCCAAGAGGTCAGGAAAAGCGTGATTGCACCCAAAAATAAAGGCATGATAGCATTAGCGGCGGCGTTTTACGTTTAATGGAGAAAAAAGTCATTGCTATCTCGCATCTCGATATCTGTTGTATACATTACAGTCCTATCCTGCTTCCACAACCATTTCAAAGTGATCAAACAAAGCATACAAATAGAGTGTTAGTTCCAACATACTATGCAATCCCCACTTTGAGCCACCCATACTATGGTCCCCCCCACGGTCCAAGCCCCCCTCATGCATGTAATGCATGATCCCAGCCGCTGCACTTCGCGGCATCTTGTCCCATACTTTACGTCTCGGTACCAGTGCACCAATATCGAACTTCTCCCTTGACTTGCCGATGCCGTGGCTCGGTCCGTATCCGTATACGTATGTCTGCGTGAAGGGGGGGGGGGGTGAGGGCATGGGGACGTCATGTCTTTGGAGAGGGAGGGTGCACCGGTGAAAGAGCACATGGGTCTCATAGTTTCTGTAGGTTGCATGTGGGGATGAAGGGGGTAGAGTGGGGGTGTTGTTTGCCTTGATCCATGTCTCGAGTTTGTTCTTCGGGCTACGTAGTGTTTGAAATGCGAAGTCATTCAGCACACATCACTCTTTTTTCTTGACTGTCACTACTCCAACATTCCAAATCACTAATTGATGAAGAAAGAAAACCCCCTATGTCTTGACCGCGTGACTATTCTTCTCGTTCTAGATCCATTACTTGAGAAGAATCTAAACCAAAGTTCCCCCTTCTCGCCACGCTTCCAGTACTGAAAAAATGATTCAGCATTCCTTCCGCTATCCGCAGCACCTACCCGGACGCTACACATGCTCCCGTATTCCCCGAGTCGCAAGCGCCTCCCCGAAGCAAACGCCACGCATGCTGGCCGCACGCTTCCAGGCGGTTCCTCCCGGGCTTTTGGTGATACACGTGCAGAAGAAGAGGAAGAAAAAGCTTGGTAACTGCTAAACCGGTGTAACTTGCTTGATTTGGCATGTACCAGGTTGGTGAGGTAATTGGGCTGGGGACAATACAGAATTCGAGTACTGTGTTGACCTGGAACTCGGGAGGGGGTTTGGGATCGATCGGGGTTGCTGGTACCGGGCTTGAAGGAAAGGGGCTGATGTGTTGGATAGTCCAGAGTATGATTATTTCTGGAGTTGGTCGCGGATTAAATGACCAAGACACAGATTATAGGCTATCTATTCTCTCGACGAGTATTGTTCTGTCAAAGTAGCTCCACAAAATCGATACATACCAACATTCAAAAGCATAATTGCAGGTTGCAAGCACATTTCAGAAAGTAGGCAATTCCATCTGAGCCCTCTTTCCTTTGCAGGAACTCCGCTATGGAGTTATGCCACATGCGTACCACAATTCTCCCTCCATCTGAGCCCTCGACCGCTTCCGCTCGACCAAACCCAAGTCCCCTTCCCTAGACCACCACAAAGCCACCCGTCCTCTCTATTCCCTGAACCGGCATGCCTCCACCCAAAACTGCTCTTGTTCTACCGCATATGCGTCACACAGACGCATGCTGGTTACGGTACCCGCCGCCGTTCTGCTGTGTAAGTAAAATTGCTTGGGCGGCACGACGATGTCGCTGTTGCATGGGGAACGGAGGGTGTCACTGTCCAAACTGGGGCTCATATGGCAAGGAAAACGGTGTGGGAGGCGGAGTTTCAACCGGCTCCCCGAAAGTATCGTGGGGGCTTTGGTGATTTAGTAGGGTGGTTGGAATGATGGGGGGCGATGAGAAGAGCTTTTACAATATTTAGGAAGGGAGTCGGAGATGGTGTAAGGCTCAATGTGCCGTGACAAAGTTTCGTGGAAAGGGGAACTTGTTTACTGAAATTCCTCGAGGATTATTCTGAAGCAAGCATTGGCATGTGTGTGGTTTGTAGTTCCACGTTATGTACGGCATGCATGTGTGGGGTGGGTTTAGCGCATGAGCTTGGGATTGATAGAGCGTACCCGGGTAAGAATCGATACATCAAGCATGCATACTTGAGCGTGAGTGATGCTTTGCAGATACCGAGTTCGTGTGACGATTGCGTGGCCGAGTGCTACGTCTTTGAGGATCTGGGGCGTGCTACATGGGATAGAGCGGGGTTGATAACTTGGAACGTGGTTACGTCTGAGGGGATGCAGATGGATTGTTGGAATTTTGCATGTGGAGATGCATTGAAGCGCTTTATTTATCTTATATTAGTTCCAGTACCCGGATTTTGGACTTTGCGATCTCAATTAGCTACCATGTACCCGATCAAGATGTGATAGTATTCCAAGGCAAACTTATACTTCGGGGTAATTGGTTTATCTGCATGAACTGAGGAGACATTGCGATATGCATTCAATGGCCTTTTTAATTGACTTCTCGCTAAAATTTGGTAGGAGCTAATGCAGAAAGATCTATTGCATGTTTGTGGTGTGCGTAAAGAGCTGCGATGCATCAGGGATCCCCACAGCGTGTTGCGTAGGACCAACGCACTGAGCACTCTTAGCTTGTCACTGCACGCCCTCAGAACATGTTTAGTGAAGCCTAAAATCAAAGGAATAGTAATTTTCCTAGTAGACAAAGTTTGTAACAAATTTCATTTTACCTGAGCTCAAATGTGTGTAACACTGTCAGCTACAGGGATAAGGGAGTGGCTGCAGTTCATATACTCGCGTTATTTGTGAGATAGAAAAACCAGGTAGTGGCTTTTGAGAACCTTCTAGAAGAATGTAGGATTATTGCTTGGTGTGGATCAAAATATGAAGGTTCGCAGTGCTGCAACCAAGATTTGCCCCTTGGACACGCCACAAGATAACTAATCCAGCAGCTGCCATACTGCCAAGCAAAACTTTCTCCACATTTACTTCGCATATGTCGGTAGAATGTGCCAAGCTCTGTGGTTGTGGAACGATTTCTTGTCGCCTGGTCGCCGTTTTCGTTCGTCATGGGCCACGAGCTATCTTTGTGCAATCATGCATCTAGAAGGGCCGTGCTCTTTAGATGATGTACAGCTAGAGAACACAACGGCTCACACCCAACTACAGCTTCAAGAATTTTTATGCTTATCTCAATGTCAAGGCTAATAGTATCTTGAGGGGCTTAAGAGGTGTACAAATTGACAATATTCAACAGTGAGCCAGTGTGTCCGCGGTGTGAATACTAAGGATTTAATGGAGTCAGAAAGATAAAAGACAAGCGATCTGCTACCTTCACGATATCTGTTAGTGATGAAACTAGGGAGTTTGCAACCTGGCCCCACTGCTGCAGTTCCCTGCTGCTCAATGTAGGTTCCATTTCTTGGTTCACACAGCCAAAGAAGGGGAATTTCGAACACTGCACCCGGTGAGTACATTGAATACATACCAGTGTATATAAAGAGTTGCAGATCGCGCCAAAAGTAGGATACTCACGCTTCCCCACATTCTCCGCATCTTGCTTAGACTGGGTACTCCAACTTCCTTTCAAAGATACAACAAGACCACGTGCTTTCATCATCTTCGTAATTACTATACCACAGAAGTGTCTCCCACGTAGGTAGCTTCAGCTCCTCACCTTGTACCAACTAACCAGAGGTATAGCTCTCATCCCTTTTTCCAAGCTCCGATTGTCAATCAACACAACACGATGTGCTCCTATAACAAAATCAACTTTCGCTGCGGGCATTTCGAGTACCGAATTGCGGTGTATTGCCATTTTGCACGGAATGACCCCAATCACCAGTGCTTTGGCGCATGGACAGTCAAACGTGCTTGGGATGAGCCTCGAGAAGTTTGCAGAAAATGCGCAAGGCGGTAAGGTTATTTCCTAGTACCATGTTGCGCTCAGTCAACGTATGGGATTGGCGGCAGAAAGTGAAACCTTACTGTACAACAATTAGGTATTGTGTGGGATGGTTCATCGGAATTCTGTAACAGGCTTGAATGTTTCTTCGTCCGGTTGGATGGTATGATTGTTCTGTACTAGCGACATAGTCTGGGCGTATAGCCATGGCGTTTGCTGAATGACTGGGTTGGCATTTTGGGGGCTAGAATTTACTGTGTACGATTTATTTTGTACGTATATACAATTCAATATCAGGTAACCACACTACTGTCGCTTTGTCTGGGGAAAAACAATGGATTTGAATCATGAATGATAAAGGAACTCTACCACGCCGAAAAGCTGATAAGACATTTCTTAGGCATCAGTCTGAAAACCAGTCTTGCAACTGCAACCACAAATAGAAAGCCGAGCAGAAAATGGTGCAATGAAGTCCGCAACAGCACTAGCCTAGAACGGTTTGGCGTGCACCCCACCACCTCAGACGCCTCGGCCAGCATGTCGACTTGAAGATCCCCGGGTCACTTCTTCGCTATTCCCACACCTACACTGAACATTTAAATACACCATCATGTCCGACGCCGCCGAACCCAAGAAGGAGAAGTTCGCTCCAAAGGAGACTGTTACGCTGAACCCACCCAAAGATGACATCATCGAGCGGGATTATCTGGCAAAGTGCGATGGTAGGCTTCTCTCCAAGTGACTTCCGTCGGGAATCTTTCTGGAAGACCGGAATAACTAACGGTTAGCCTAGGTACAAATGAAGGTTATCCAACACTAGTTGCTATCAAGGTACATTATTGAAAACCCCCCCATCGACATGCCATCCCGAAACACGTGCAGCGGAGCTAACGGTGATCTAGGGCGATGTCTTTGATGTGAGCGGCAAGGAGACATATGCGCCTGGAAAGGGCTACCATGGTTCGTGAACCCAGAAATAATCTTTCATTACCATGTATAACTAATAAATGATCCCAGTGTTTGCGGGTAAGGAGCCTAACCGCGCTCTTGGCCTGTCTTCTCTCAAGCCGGAGGACTGCATATCGGATTACTCCGGATTGTCTGAGAAAGAGCTGGGAGTTTTGAATGACTGGCACACGTTTTTCAGCAAGCGGTACAATATTGTAGGACGACTACAGGCAGAAAGCTCGAATCTGTAGATGAGGTTCGTTTTGTCAGAGTTGATTCGCGCATGTCATGTTGTAGAGAAGGTCATCTACGTACACTCTGGATAGCTTCGAATTACACAGACTCGTTCAAAGCATCTTTAGCTTCCAAGCTAAGGCTCTCAACATGCATATTTGTATCTCATTATATACTTCAGCAGCGACTATTCTTTCTTTGTTCTCAACATGGTGACCGCTATATGACCTGATATCCGATATTACATCACCCAGACCTTTGCAAAACTCCCATATAATCCATCACGTTCCCGAATTTCAAGCTGGTGCTTTCACCATCAATGTAATGAGGGAAAGCACGATTTCTGCAGCCGCCAACACTGTTGGCTCGCCTGGGTTATCGTATATAGGAGCGACCTCAACTATCGACCGATGTGGTTAGTATTTAATCATTTCGAATAGGGGAATGTTGATACAATAAGATACATACCGATATCAGCACCGATTACATCTAGTCCTGCAAGACCATCCAGGATAGAGAGTAACTCTCGCGTGCTCCAGCCGCCAACCTCGGCAGTTCCCGTGGCTGTAGTTTACGTCAGTCACACCGTCCAATATCAGGTTACTGAAGGTAGTGCAGCAACACTATGCATCTCCATATCGTAACGCAGTGAGTATCGTGTTGTGCGGTGTAGGGATGGCATATCAGAACTCACCAGGAGCAAAGGCCGGGTCAAGCACATCAATATCAACACTGATGTATACCTTGCTATCCCCTACCCGCGCCTTCAACGTCTCGATGATCCCCGACACGCCAATGCGATCAAGGTCCCTGGCCTTGACCATGTCAAACCCGCATCGAATGTCATTCCGAACATCACCTTTTGGTCGTAAAACTGGTGCTCTGATGCCAGCGTGAATGGATGTATTTCGAATCAAGCCTTCTTCGTGTGCAATATGCAGAAACGTTCCGTGATTGACACCACTGTCATTTTGGTGTTTAGCGAGCTGTGCAAGGGAAACTTCTGGATTAGAACTTACGCGTAGTGGGATATTCCTCCGCCTTTCATACATTAGCATGCAGTTGTACGCAGGAAAGATTGAACTTACCCAACACCTTTGGATCCCAAGTGTCTGTTAAGCGGTCAGCGGAAACCAGCTACAAAGATTGGTCTGGCGGACCGATATGGCTGTCGAAATGTATCACACTGACTGGACCCCAGTGGTTATGGGCTGAGCGTAGCGCAGGTAGTGTGGTGGTGTGATCACCCCCTAGAGTGATAATCTTTGGTGTACGACCATGCTCACTTGAGTTCGCATCTCTGGACGAGATAATCTTGAAGCTAATAGTCAGTCAAAGTCTTCGTTGGAATCAGGGGTTCGCTACGAACCTCGTGGGCTTTGTCAAGCTGCTTCAGGGCCACTGTGTTATCCTATTACATTTCTCAATCAGTTTTTCCTTTAGTATCGTACATGGGTGGCATTACCAAGAAAGTCAATGGAGCGTCACCGCAGTCGACTATTTTGGCCCAGTCGAAGAACACATTTTCTCCTATTTTAAGTTAATCTTGTTAAATTCTCAGACTGTAAGTTGCCCTAAAAAGAACCAACAAGAGAAATTGAGGCGACACCTAGATGGCAGTTTTCAACAGCCAGATGTTACATGGGTCCTGCCGATTCGAGTACGGTCCTTTGCGATTGTTACTCGCGGTGGCCTCGTTACGTGCGCAAATTCGACATGTAACAACTCTTGCCCCCAATTTTCATGCTCGAGGAAACAACTGCAGCATTTCAAGTCTTTCACAATAAGTCCACTTACCCGTATAAATGCTCCACGAGGGACCCATCCGACGTGATCCAGCTCGGATGCCTCCCGGGCCGAAGCGCGTTCCAGGTCGACCAGTTACAGCCTACCAGCCGTCAACACCCGCCTCGTTCATACATTTTGTATATATAATCTTTATGCTCTGCACAGTACGTGACTTACAGTGTCGAATGGCGCACCAAGGATAGCAATGTCAAACGGCTCAACATCGTCTCCTTCAGGCGCGAGACAATGTACATATGGCAAGCTCGCATATGTGGTTAGCCCTGCAAACTTGGCTTGAGTGACATCGGTCTCGAATAGTCCTTGAGGGAACGCCTGCTGAGATCCATATCCAGAGACGGGCGGAAAAGTGATTTCCCGGGTGTACGCTACGGTGAGAAATGGGGTGATGGATAGCAACGATACAAGCGCCATGGTGAAGAGAAGGCGCTTTCAGAGGAATTGGTGTGAAGTAGAGAACATCATGTAGAGCTGTGATGTAGCTATGTACTGTGCCTCTATGCTGCTTGTAGCCAATAGCGATAAAGAGCCTTCCATTCTCGAACAGGAAGGTACTGCCGACCCGAGTTTCCCCTCACGGCAACGCCTGCTAGCCGCGTCTTCCGTTCAAGGGATGGATCGTAATCCTTGTAGATACTCCACGGTATCCTCGATTGTATGCCACGTCTTCTATCTCTTATCTGTTACAGAGTACCCCCGGATCTCATTTACAGGTATGATTAATCACTCGCTTGGTCATAGCAAAACACGGTTGTACGTACTACAACGTAATGTTGCGTTTTGAATCCAAGCGTTTTCAACGACTAATCATCGCTGTGACTTCACACTCGTACAACAATTTCCCCAACGCCAGACTCGCAACACCAACAACTGTATCCGGGGGCCGATGTCCATCTGCATTCTTATCCATGAATTCCATCCATTCCTCGCCCCAACCCCGTTCCACGACGTCCTTTGCATCTTGCTCCTTGTCACCTGTTTCTTTAACAATATAGTGTCGGACGAAAACCTAGGATTGAAATCATGGTCAGCAACATGCCACTGAATTTCCCTTTGCGGTAACTTCATGCTCCTCAAGTTGCGTCAAGGTTTCGGAGGGCGTACAATATCTCGCGGTGTTGCACCTGCAGCTTCTAAACACTTGTGAATGCTCTCATAGGCGGCTTTCGCTTGTGCTTTGATACCAGAAGGCACTGTGCCATCTTTTTGTAGGCCTGTTTGGCCAGCAAGCGTAACCAAGGCGGATGTAGCGACTATGGGGGTGACGCAAACTTGAGAGTAGGTGGGTGGTGGCTCTACCACAGAAGGTGGATTGAAAGCATTGGGCTTGTTGGACGCCATTATGAGGTTGTTATTCAGGGAATTACGTGAATACGTATATTTGTAGATACTCCCTACAACGAGTCGTGCTATCAAGCCATGCCGAGGCATGAGGGGTACGTTCGGTTCCATCTGACGTCATCGATTAGTACTCATCTGATATGTTTATACCTACCTGTTTCGCCTCCACTTCCAGCATATCATATTGTTATTGCTTGAGAGGAAGTAGTATGGCATACCTAAACTTACTACTTTTAGTTATCAGTAAACCAGCTGCCTCCATATAACTTCACCAGTGACTTTAGTTACCCTAATCATTACCGATATGCTTAATCTCCATACATCAATCACTCCGACTGCGCTCGATTTTCCTCCCACCTGACCTCGCACCAAACACCAAAATGATCGCTAAATTGTACCTTTTCAGCCAACTTCGTTCCACCAGCTGACATTTTCTCGCCATGGGATTCCACCTCGCTTGTTCGCAGGATACCCATAGCCGAAGGGGTAAGGTTGAAAAGAGTAACCTTGTCGAACCGGTTTGGCGGGAAGACATGTTCACCGTATACACCCCAAGTGTGACCGGCGTCGTTTGGATGAATGCATTCCCATGCATCGATAAGATAATTGGCATACACAAGGCCATCATCTTCTGGGAGAACAGGATTGAAGTCGCCGCCGATGATGCCGCGGCCAGCTGTACTCAGGTACGATGTGCAAATGGACAGTTGATGCGGCCTGAGTGACGGATTTATTGGCAAAGAATCTAAGTGGACATTGATGAGTCGGATCTGAAGGGGACTTTTATCAGGGATGTGCTTGCTTGAAGAGTTGAGGATCAAATCGCAGCATAGCGCGTCTCGGCCAAACCGACTTGGTAAGGGGGGCTCTCCAGATGGCGCTGAGCAAGACACTTTCTGTAGCTACCCAAACTTTAGACACTAGGGTGATGCTGATGAACTTTTGGGTTCCATACGCGGAAGCATCAATGTTGCTTATGTACCAATTTTCTGGATCCAGGGCTCTTCGAGTAGTGCTGTAAGCGCGTCCTTTGATACTTCTTGCAGGAAAATAACGTTTACAGCTCCAGTAGTTTTGATAACCTCCAGTAGTGCGGATATACGAGATTTTGGGGACAGTGCATCTGCATTGACGTTCCAAGTCACGAGTCGGAATGAGCCTGCCAATTGGTGTTTGATGTCAGGCTGAGAATTTCCGTCACTAACAAATGATATCCATTGGTCTTGATCAAAGATGTGCCACTTTTGGAAGCTAGGCGGTGCTGTATTTGTTGGTAGAGGTGTCTGTTGCCACCATGACTGGATGTTGGTGCGTATTTGCGATAGCATGACGAACTTGAACTTCTGATCTTTTCCGGGGGTTTTATGATACAAAAGGGTGGTTGTTTCGTTGCTACCATAGGTAGTGGTAGAGCGAGATGAAGCCATATTTGTCATGGCAGCAGTGAAAACAATAGCGGCCCACAATGTGTGTTCACCAATTGTACAGGAGCCATTACGCGGTACCAGTTTTGCCTACCACAAGTCAGTGGTGAAACTGTACATACCACCTATACAGTACCCAAGTAGGCTGTGTGGTACATGGGTACATCACCGCCCCACCTTTTAGTTAGAACCAATAGTGACATCACCACCAATCTTCACGCGACATCACCCCAACACAAACCGATCCACAGACCCAGCAAATACTAGAACCTGCGTACACAAGCCACTGCGTGATTGGGTCATACCACCAACGCAATGAATGCACCAAAAGCCCCTCCCTCCATCCACACCCGGACGAATAAGAAGCACCATGCCGCGCGCCCGCCTCCGTTGCAAATGCGGGGAAACGCTCCATCCAGAACAGTGATATAACCGCATGCTCGCGCGACAAATCTCCGTGGTGCACTGAACGCTTCACTCCCCCAAATCATGGCGTCCAGCTGGTTCAGCAGTGCCTCTCCAAAAGAGGCACCATCTGACCCTCCAGACCTCCGCATCCAAGTCGCCGACCAACGCCCCCACGATTTCTACCTGCAGCCCAGCTCCGGGCTCAGTCCCGCGACAAACAGCTCCAACCTACCGAAGATCGCGGTCGATAGAACGCATTCCAAGACGCACGTGTACAATGCTTCACTGTTCGATGTCGGGATCCTGAAAGACACGCTCGTTCCTTCCTTCTCGCTACATGCGGGCTTAGCGGTTCTGGCGTACGGGGCGGCACGATATACGAATCGTGTTGAAGCAAAAGACTGGTTGTGGCCTAGTGGACAGGTTGTCAATGCGTGGTGGTCAGCTGTCGGCCGGCGTGTGGCCGCTGGGTACACTGTCTCGCAAGCTTTTAATCGGTTGTCCTGGCATGAGCGGGTTATGCTGACTGGAGTCACATTATGGGGAGGCCGCCTCTTTTACCGTATTGCGAGGCGGTCGATCCAGCGAGGTGAAGACGATCCGCGGTATGTGGAGGTGAAAGAGGAGGATGGGTTCTGGAATACTGCGCTTTTCAAGGTTTTTATTCCAGAGGCGTTCTTCCAGATGCTGATTAGTTTGCCGTTTACTGCACCTTTTCGACATGAAGGCGCGGTTATGACGGGCTATCATCCTCTTGTTCAGATGCTGGCTGTTGGCTTGTTTTCATCTGGTTTGGCTCTTGAGACTCTTGCGGATTACCAGCTTGACCAGTACAAGGCCGAGGGTAACAAGGGAATCCTGCGTGAAGGTGTCTGGAGCATTGTCCGTAATCCCAAGTACGTTATTCCTAACCCCCCAATGTATCATTCTGAACCTTTCTAACCTCACTCCAGCTACCTAGGTGACGCACTAGTCCACATCTCCTTCATCATCATGCTATATGGCTCCGACATGCTCGCACCCATTGAGCTCCTGGGTCCCGCAGCAAACTACGCCTTTCTCCGCTTCTTCGGTGGCGATGCGCAAAAAGAGCAGCATCAACAACGCAGATATTCTGCTTCATCTCCTGAGAAACTTCGTGAGTTGGAAAGGTTCCGCGAGGACAAGAACGCATTTTGGCCTAGTGTCGATGAGCTGAAGAACAGGTGGCTGTGGACTGTGCTAGGATTCGGTGGCTTGGGCATTGCTACCGAACAGTTGCTGAGAGCTTTCCACTAGGTGCCAATGGTCTTCACAAGTAAGACAGGGAGATGTTCAAGGTGTACAGGGTATATACCATTCTTTTGATTTATTTTCTTTACATGTATCTCAGTCCTGTCGGATTCACAACGATCTCTTTCATTTGTTTGCAGTTCAATAATACGACTCGGTAAGAATCTCTCTAGCGAGCATTCTCTGTACCTGACCATTTACTATGTATAACGTTTGAATACAAATTACCCGCGTTACGATATCATGTAGTTCTTCTATGAGTGTGCTCTTCGTGCAGACTGCAATCAACGCAAATCCAAGAAACAAAAACTGTATATTACACATGCAGCAGTCATTTTCTCTCCATTTCTCTGCACACTCACACTATCTAGAACCCAAATCCCATATCCTCAGCGTCTCTCCCTTGCCTCCTCGCTTCTTGTTACCCTTCTCCTTGCCACCCTCGGTGAGCTTCAACATGCACTTGGATACACCAGCCAAGCACTCCAATACCTCGCTCATCCTGCCAGTTTCCAGCAGACAGCGTTGTAGCCACTCGTTACTCTTATCGGCTATGACGACAGCAACCTCCATGGCCTTGATAGCGGGATCCTTGTTCAAGAACCACGATGCAGACTGGAGAACGGAGAGATAGGCAAGGATCATATCGGGAACGTAAGCCCTGAGGAGATCCCACGTTTGCTCTGTCAAGTAGTGAGGGTCTGCAGCAGAATAAATAGAGATCGAGGGCAGAAGGGTGTCAAATATGGTGGAAATAGAGTCCAAAAGAGCCTTTGTGTGTTGAGTATCTGGTTTTGCTTTCGCACCAGTGGTCTCTTTCTGACGGTCCGCACGGATCCTGCATTGTTTGTTAGCTGGCATGAAATAAGGTATATGAAGAGCGTGCACTGACTGTATGAGTGCTTGCTCCTCCTCGCGCCATTCGCGGAAGAGGACGAGCAGGCGAACGATTTGCTGGAGGTTGCAGTATGGCAAGCTGGCTTGGCGCAATTGCATCACCAATTCTCTGTGCTGGTTGGCATCAGGTAATTGTGAAATAGGAACTGCAGCAGCTCGTGCAGCGGCTGAGAGGCTGTCTCGATGCTCATGGAGTTGGCGCTCATCTTGTTCTTCTGCTCCAGGACTCATCAAATCGAAAGGATAGCCAGTAAGAGCTTCTGTACGCGACAGCGACAGAGACTCAACGCTGAGATCATTAATGACCTTCTCGGCAGCAGCTAGGCGACCGTTGACTAGGTTAGATGTTAGCTGAGAAGCGGCATTAAAATTTCTAGACAATACTTACGAAGGAAGATGGTCAGCGCATTGTTGAGGTGCTCAAATGTGTGTTCATAATCCCTGCCAATGTAGTTGTACCATTGCAAAGCATCGACAATAATCTCGTCTTGCTCGCTAATTTGCTCGCCATCGAATGACCGCTTGATGCGCACACCGGGCCACAGGACTTGCTCATGAGGTACGCTGACTGGCTCCAAAATCTTAAAACGCTTGATGGGGTTTGTGATGACTGTGATGCCTGCACTGTTGAAGTGGGTGAATCCACTATCCCGCGCAGCAAACGTAAAGCTCTGAGATACGACCTGGATAACGTCGAGTCGATATGACTCCATTAGCGCAACGCAGTGCCGCTGCTCAGTGCTGTTCTTGATGTCGGGAAGGACGCGTGCTAGGGTATATGCTGCACGCTCTTCGATCAGCTGCGCCGCATAAAGCGGGATGGCATCGAAACGTTGAGTAAGGCGCAGGAACTCAATGTAGGCAGCGATGACATTGTCCATAGTTAGGAATTGCTTGTCCTGTTGAGTATCCTCAAAGAGCGTATGAAGTCCATTACGGAGAACAATGAAGATGTGCACCAAGATTCGGAAAGCGTGGGGATCTTTTACAAGGCTTTGGTAGTATCGCTCCGCTTCAAAGGTCCGGTATTCTCCCGCTGGTATAGGTGATCGGTCTTCCTCTGGCGAATCTGGGTGGATGATGAGGCTGTGAGGTCGTTTGTCTTGAGCAAACATATCCGCTAGGGCCATGCCGACTTTCAGCATCAGGTCATCAGCATCTCTGCCGATAAGCGCTCCTTGGATGAGCTTGATTGGTGAGACAGCTTGGCTGGCGGTACTCCTTTGCTGCTTTAGTATACCAATAACCTTCTCGGGCGAAGCCTCCCAATCTCCGATGTTGGCTACTGCATCCTGAAAAAGGAACTTTTGGGTCAGGCTCTCTGTCACCTTGGCGGGGTAGTTCCTTTGGAGGTACGTGTCGAACCGGGAAAGAAGCAGGGCGTTGTAATGCGCATAAAGATGGTCGTCCCAAGATCGGCAAACTGCTTGTACTTGCTTCAAGTCTCCACTCAACAGACCGTATACGGCGCCTTCATAAGGTATCCGTGCCCCCCTTGCAGCGTAGAAACACATGCGGCGGAACAGATAGCCAACAGTTGGCCCAGCAACATTAGGGCCACCTTCGGGGTGACTCTCATATGCTGCTCCAATGCTGACTCCACGCCAGGATTCATTTCGTTCGTAGCACCAGTCCACAATGGTCGTCCACGGCAGTCCACGGCGCATCATCTCGTATGCAACCATCCAAAGGGAACGCTCATAGTACTCGTCGTTCTTTTCAAGCGCACGCTTCTGCCTTGAGGGGGCATCTGGGTCGAGCTGTGTAACAAGGTTCGCGGTCTTGTCCGAGGTCTGGATGTTCGTGTTGGCAGGCTTTAGTGGCTGGTCGGCACCCTCCATGCGCTTCGCCTGCTTGATCTTCGCCTTGGTGTCAAGCCAGCCACTTGTCCATGTATGCGCGCCCTTGCCCGAATGCTCCTCGAGTGCTGCGGTGATAGCTTTGACATCGCTTTCGCTGTCTCGCGCGGTCTGCTCCAACCAGCGAAGAACAAGTGCCTTCTCTTTCGCTTGGTCATCTTCCAGTATGAATCGGTCCCAAATCTCGCTATTCTTGCAGTACCGCGCAGTGCCTCCAGCAGTTTCCAAACGCGCCTTCTTCTCTGCGGTCACATCGGTATCGGGGTCGGGGTGGTAGTGTTCGATGACGAGCTTGAGCAGTTTCCATGTTGCAAGCTCTGCCTGCCATTCTCGAAGCTCCTGGACGTTTGCGGAGACAGGGGCGGTGTTGTTCTCAATCGACGAATTGACGGATTGGGAAGACTGAGCGAAGAGGCTCTGGGGCGCATTCTCCGACGCATCTGCCATAGTCTGTATCTGCCGCCGGATAGTCTTGCTCAGACTGCCCTTGTTCTCTGCTTCGGTCGTTCGCTTCAACTCCTTGACATGAGATTCTGCAACATCCTGAAATTTGCCCACCAACTTGACCGTGGTGTGATATTTGGCCATCTTGGACTCATTTCCGTGTGTATGCCAGTGGTCGACTCGCTCTGCAAACTTCTCAACCTCTTTGCCCACGCGGTCGGCCATTGCGCGCAGTGGTTGGAGCGGGTCGTTGGAGGTGGTGCCATTTGTTGGTCGGGAAGCGCCAAACAAAAGCGCATTACTATTCGGGGACTGAGTCTGGTGTCAGCCGCCATCGAGTCCATCTATGTGTTTTGTCGTGGGCAAGGCTGGAAGCTCTTTGATGACTTACCTGTGCTGCAGTCGACTGCGACTGGCGCGAGAAGGGTCGTAACGCCATGTTGGAAGCAAAGGGAAGGAAGCGTAGGATACGGCAGACAACAAGGAGATGCGGCGACTCTAGGCCGGGGTAGTCAGACAGTTGTCAATGGGTTGGTGAGGGCCTGGGATGGCCGTGGTTGAGCGTCCTAAGCCCGTCACAAAACAGAAGTCGCGCCCGGACGTGCCTGGCGGGTTAGCGTGTTGCCAAGGACGGCGCGCGCTAATGCAAAAGTACAAAAACCTCGTCGGGGATGCGCTCGGCTGCTCTTTTCTTTCTTTACAATGTTTATAACCTATACATGTGCTACTATAGAGTCTCGTCGGAAATTTGTCAGTGTTCTACGACGCGCTCATGCCATGTTAGAGAAACACACTTCCTGGTAAAACCGCCTGGACTTTTTCGGAAGTTTGATGGTGCGGACAAGAAAGAAAGTGTTACATGCCCTTTTTCCAGCAACAACTGGCTGTGGTTTTTATTCTGGGAACTAATAACACAAGACCGTATCTGGCGACGATTAAGACTGGATTCTACGAGATGCCTTTGGCGCGTTGTTGCATCTTGAGCCTGTATTCTGTTAGCCTAGCAGCAACATGTCGACAGATGTGGCCATACTTCAAAAGCGAGTATTTCGGACAGCTCACGGTGCTTGCTTTCTCGCCCTGTCTTTCGTAAAAGGCATTGCAGCACTCATACAATGCATCCACCTGCGGCTTGTTAATCCTTGTCCTACAGGGCACTGTATTGTTGCCTCGGGCCATAGGAACCAACCTCTTTTCTGCACTTTTCTTCGTTGTAGTTGTTCCTTTGGATACAGTCTACTACTTAGCTTTTCACACGTACAGCATTTCCTGCGCCACATACTTTGAATTGCACATGCCCGTGGATGGCATGGAGGGTCTGTCTGCAAGTCTCTCTCCATTTCTCCCTATGCTTCTGTCAGTGCGGCTGTCCTACCCAATTCTTTCAGCGTGACATCATAACCATACCATGGTGAACCCGCCCCAAAGTGCCGCAAAACTATCAGTCTGATGTACTGGAAGACGTCAATTACGAGACAGGAAGCGATTATGTAAAGGACAAAGTCAGACGGCTCTAGTTTTGCGGATAAGGTAGATGTGCAAGGTGAGGCCGGAGGACCAGAAACGGCCAAAGCTTGGTGAGCGAGACCCCCACTAATTCCGCAGTGCTCACAACTCAGTCTTGCGCCTTGATCCCTCACAATCGTCTTTTCACGCGTTGCCACCGCTGCTGCAGTTCCATCCGACGCGTTTGCTCGCCCCCACTAGACGCTTCTATCACCCGCCGTGATTTGCAAGTCCGCCCGCCGGTATTAAGGTACGACTATCTCCGCACCACATATTGCAGCCTCGTCCCGCGCGGCAAATCGTGCCCTCTTCCTTCACCTCCCGCTCCACCTTCCACTCAACCCACGACTGACCTTCCCACTCAAAAGCCTCCAGCCTACTTCGCTTGCTACGCAGCATCACAGTCGCACAACCAACAACCACCACCACCCCTACCAACATGTCCGAGAACGGTTCCCCCAACAACGTGCAGCAGAAGCCCGAGGACGGCGGCCAGAGCGAACACCTGAACATCAAGGTCACGGATAACAACAACGAGGTGTTTTTCAAGATCAAGCGCACCACGGCCCTCGGCAAGCTCATGAACGCCTTCTGTGACCGCCAGGGCAAGAACATTTCCAGCGTCCGATTTCTCTTCGACGGCCAGCGTGTCACTGCCCAGGACAACCCAGACACGGTACGTAGCCAACTTCTTTTTTTCTGCCGTCCCTTCGCCCTACGCTGCCGCCAATCCCTGTTTGTTTTCCCCTTCTTTTTTTTCGTGGGGTTCATGGGCCGTTAGCCTAACTGCACACCCACACATACACGCACGCACACAGATGGACTAACACGGCATAGCTTGACATGCAGGATGGCGACACCCTCGAGGTTCACCAGGAGCAGATTGGCGGATGCTGACCAGCACCATCGACTACATGGCTTTTTCTGGACCCTGAATAACCGGCGGCTAGACAACTGACTGTCTATACCTCCCTCAGCCATCCAACCAACCAACCTTGCGACCTGCCCGAGACGTACGAAGACATGATTGCTTTGAGCGAAGGCGTGGCAGAAAGAGTCGATCCTGTCCTTTTCTTCCTTTTTTGCACTTTTTTTCTTTTATTCTGCTGTCAGATATGGATATCACGGATTTTCTGGCGTCATGGTACTACCAAGCTCCGTCTTTGGGCGGTCCCCTCTTGGTGTTCTTCATTCAGGTAGTAGCAGCGGCGGGTAGGGGGATGTGTGTGTGTGTGTGGATGCGCTTTAACGCGGGAGATGATTTGAAATTCACTACATTTACTGTTCTTCCATCTGACCATGTGATGCATCCGGAAATTCTCATAGGTGTTTGCGCAATGGTCCAATGGATATCGTAACGCGACGATGCGCTTTTGCCCAAACGAAAAAACAACAACAACAAAGAAACAGTAATTGTACACTCCTGCAAATCGTATATTTATGTACATTGACAAAGGTACAACGCCTAGACCCATGCAATGCCAGCAACATGATTCACACAAAAGAAAAACCCCCTCCAAAAGACGCACAATCCAACCTAATTTCCCTTAATCATCCCAAACAGCCTTCTTCCTCGCCTCCCTCGCCTCTGTTTCCCTCTTCTCCCTCTCCTTCTCCTCGGCCCGCCTCTTCCTCTCCTTCTCCCTCATAACGCGATCATACTCCCTCTCCTCCTCGGTCCGCCTCGGCGCCCGCACCCCCAACGCCCCCGCAATCATCCTCCCAGCCACCGCCGTCGTCTTCTCGGGTCGCTTGTCCAAACTCGCAGGACTATTCCTACTCCGCGGTCCGTCACTGCCAATGCTGTAACCCACGTTGCTATCGCCGTGCGGGTACTCGAATTGCGTGGGCGAGGCCGGGGTGGGAGGTGGGGGGTTAGGTGGTACGTCGGTGTCGTCGTGGGACGAGGTTGTCGAGAGGGGTTTTAGGGCGTCTTGGGGCGAGGATTTGCCTTGTTGGGATTCTGATGCCTTGGCCCTTTTTGTGCTTGTGGAATTGCTGGTTTCGGTTTCGGTGTCTGAGGAGCTGAGGGCGTCGTCGTCGTCCCAGCTGTCGGCTACCGGCTTGGATTTGGGTTTCTTGAGGGGTTTCTCGGGGTGCGAGGGCGACAGCTTGAGGTTGCCGAGGGTTTTTGCGATCTCTAGAGCAGGATGGGTTAGTTTGCGGTCGGTTGTAGAGAGGATGTTGGGGTGACGATGCGTACCTTCTTCGCTGGGTGTCTTGTGGATGGGTGCCATATTCGAATCTGGATATCCAGTTGTGAATTGCCTAGTTGCTGATGTCCACACAGGTATTTGTAAAGGTATATCGATTGTCTGAGGCTCCCTTTTTTTTCCCCAAGTGTTTCACAGGGTCAAAGCAACCGCACCGGTTCTTTGTCTGGTACCCTATTCCAAATTGCTTGGAAGGCTGCGTGGATAAGGGTTCGTTTGGCGGCTTTCCTAGCGGCTGGAGATGGAAACTTTAATTCAAGTAGTTCGAAAACGACGATTAAGTCGACTCTGTTAGGGTGAGAGGGATAAAAGAAAATCACTCAAGTCGCAATGAGTCGTGGATATGGAAGGTGATGTTCGGAGAATTGATGAACCAAGGTTTAATTTAGGTTTATTTGCAAAGGTAAAGCAAAGTCAAAGTTCCAAAAGTCAAAGAGAAGGAGAGAGACACGCGAATTAAGTACTACTCAAGAAACTCGTAACACACAAGCTTCCCACCTAGCAAGGGCGTGGGGAGACACCGGGGCGGGGCGGGCGGAGGGAGACGCATGCAACCTCGAACCTTGGTTTTCCCTGCTTCAAGGTTCCGGTCGAGAAACAATTCCACCCCACCTTTTGGCTTGGATTGTGGGGAAAGGGCGCGCGTCACCCCATGAGCACATACACAAACGCCCTTCATTACGTCTGCGCCTCACCTCCCCGTTCCTTTCCGATCAATGCCATCGTTTCCATGCATAGCAGTGGACCCACCCTTTTCTTCTTCTCTTGTTACTACTCAAAGTTCTAGAATCCCTCGTCTTTTGCCTTGCCGCGATATGCCCGGTTTTTTTATCTCTTCTCTTCTCAGAAAGCGGTTTCAGGGTTGTTCGGCTCAAGGATGATGAGAGGTCGAAAGCAATGTGCTTTTTTTTTACTTATTGTTCAATTGTTTGAAATTCGATCTTGCGTTATGGAGAGGTGTGTTGGGAAGATCGTGGAAGCGTTCTATTCATAGCTACACATATATCTATATCTCTCCTTTTATCCTCTATAGGTAATCTCGCCACGATGCAATAGCATGGTCATGCAACTTTTGTGAAGCTGTCGACACATGTGCAATTTTTAGCTACAATCGTATCTTTCCGTATCCTATGCATATACGCGTGGCGATATGCCCCAAGTGTTGCCTGTTCAACCACACTCGCTGCAAACCTCAATAGAAAAATTGTGGGCGTGCACGACCAAATGCGTTGCGTATTTCTTTTTTAGCAATGATTCTAGACACTCGGATTCCATCGAGCCAGACCCGCGGAAACTGATCATTACCTCATTCGCAACGTGTGATTCGTCATGGTGAGATCTTAGGTCTGAAAAGATCTTCAGGAACTTGTGGAGCGGTAGATCGGTGGATATGAACATGCGTAGGTCTAGGTCGTGTGTTCTAGCTGAACCCTGGATTGGTCACGTGACACGGGGAGAAAAAAGATGGCTTTATTTTAGGGTGTTTCTAGATTGTTCATTTCACCGATTGTATGGTATAAATGCATATATGTGAGACAGACCGAGAGTTCCTTAGGGAAATGAGTATGATAATGAGCGAAGAAATGCGTACATCGCAATCTCCGAACAAAAACAGACAGGGCAGTATTAACCGTGTCAAAAGAAAAGTAGTGTTGGCAGGACAGCTGCACGTACTAGAGATGATCACCGCTACTTCTACCGACTACTCTCAATATCACTTTCATCAAGGATTGAAATTTTTGGCAAGCCGCGCATAACAATGCATAGGCAGCAAGTATATTAGACTAAGCAATTACAAATCGTGACTTCAATGCAAAATACGCTATAATGATACAGGAAAGCAGACCAGAACCCAGGGGACTATCATGTCCAAATCCGAAACAAAACGCCTCTGGTCAGACACAAATACCCATTGGGTATGTTTCCCAAAAGCAAAATGCCAAACCACCCCGAAAAGAAGACCATGGGTCTTGTAAATGCGCAGATAACACCGGATATATGCAAATGCAAGCGACTGCATCATGTCATGTCATACCACTCCATGCTGGCTCACGTACTGGAACCAACTCTATCTCCAGAACCGTCGCCGCGCTTACTGAGTTTCTTCTTCGCTTTTCCCTTCTTCTTACTCATAGGTTCGCTGGGTGGCGAATGCGTTCCCCGACTGCCACCCTGACTCTCCCCTTGCTTCAGGCCCTTGACCTCCTGGAGCATGTCGCGGAAGCCTTCCTCCAGTGTCGTCATTCGTGCGAGCATAATTCGGCTCATACGGTTCGAGTCCGAGTCATTGTCGCTACCCTTTTGCTTCTCGCGCGCCTTCATCCTTGCAGCCATTTCGAATTGCGTCGTAAAAGATGCGGGCAGTCCGCTGAGGTTGCCAAAGTTAGGGTTAAGCGCGTTGTCTCCAATGTCTGACGCTAGGTCCAAGGCAATTGCGCTGAAAGACGGCTCTCGCGTCAAGTTGTCGTTTAAGAGCAAATTAGCCGAATTCCTCCGTGGTGGCATGATCGCACGAGGCCGAGAGCCGGGAGCGGGAGGAGGCAGTACCCGCTTAGGTGTACGTGCACCCGTCCCGCTTGAGCCCTCCAGGCGACCTGGCGTGGCCGTTCCAGTGGCTGTTCCACTGCGATTGCCAGTCTTGGGCCGTTTCTCGGGCGATACTGCACGAGATGTGCTCATCGTGTCCTTGATAGGACTAAACAGGATCGTGCTCGTAGATGTGTTTCGGTTGTGCGTTGGTTTCAACCGCTTCTTGCCAGGCGATGCCGCCTTGCTCTCCCTGAAACTGGACTCTGACGGCGCAATTGCAATTCCTGAAGAGCGCGTCTGCGTCCACTGAACACCAGTCATGGGCGTACGGAAGAACTCATCCTCTGAAGACTCGTATCCAGTCTGGGGTCTTTTACTTTCTTTTGGACTAGGCTCGCGTCGAGGAGTAACGTTTTGATCGGTACTGGCTTGATCGTCTTCATCATCTCCATCGGCATCAGTTTGCTGTGGCGCTTCTTCCATGACTGCCTTGTCGACTTCAGGTTCCGACTCTTCTGCGATGGGACCACTGAGAGGTGTCACAAGCTCATCTGGATCCGACACAACAGCCCTTGCGGCAGCAAGTGGATGCTTTCGCCTTTGTTGACCGGAAGTTCTGGTCCGTCGCAAATAGGGCCGCTGGCGACCCTCAAGCCGATCCAGAACTGATCGTGAATCATCCTGAGGTGGTGTGTTTTCATCATCGTTGCCCATCTTTCTCATCCAATCCGATACAACATTACCAGAATTCCTTCTCGGAGTTGGATACCTAGGAGTGGGCTGGAAGCTAGGGTCGAGGTAGGGCCTACGGAACACTTCTTCCAACGCCTGGTCCTTTTGGAACGTGGTAACAGAAGGCTCGCGCAAGCGGGGGCTGAACAAGTCTACAGGGCCACGAATGCTAAATGCGGGCACGGGGGCTTTTGACTCTGCCCGTCCTCGCCTCTCGACAAGATCCGTCGGGCCATATGCAAGATGCGATAGAATAAGACGCTCGTAGACGAAGATGACGAACAGAATGGGAAGATGAGTCACCTTGATGATGAACCGGTTCATGCGTAGAAACTTTTTGAACGGCATCGTGTACTTGAGAGGGATCAATAGCCATCCGATGATGTTAGTGGGTGGAATATAGGAAAACAGTGCATCCGACTTGACCATGGAAATCGTGTTTACGGCGAACAAGAATTGATGCTCCTCATCAGCATTCTTGACAACAGCCATGAACGAGTTTGTCAAGACTGTGATGAGGATGGTCACAACAAGGAAATGACAGATGAAGAGGAACAAGGCAAGCAGGAACTTGCCAAGGAAATTCATGTCTCCCCAGAGGTCCCAGGCGGCAGGGCTGAATCCCATGACGAGCTGGAAGATTGCATATGCAGCATTTGAGGGACCCAGATCTCGCTTGAAAGCCAAGCTAAAGGCAACAAAGAACCCGCTGCAGCTGATAATGATCAGCACAAGCAGCGCAACCAAGTCAACAGCCATCATCTTGAAGGCAATTAGTAGCTGGGAAAAGTAGCGGTAGTGATCCAGGGCGGAGAAGAGTCGGGGAAACAGCAAGACTGCCGTCGACCCGAGTACGTCATACGCCATGGCTGCAACTCTGGTGCTGCTAACGTCTGGCATGAGGATGCCGTATAGACGCAGAATATAGTATGCCATGAACATGAGCAGAATGCCTAGATCAAAGGCATTCCACACACTCATAATGTACAGACCAAAACCTTGTTCTGAGAAGCCCACCACCTCATCGAGCATATAACCGGCGCTCCAAAACCAAAAGAGGACCTCGAGTCCAGTGATGTCGTCAGACTTTTGTGAGAGTACAGCGAGAAACAGGCCCAGCATGATGGCAAAAGAGAGAGTCGAAAACAGATTGCGGTAGCGAGGAACCCGTAAGCGGGAGAGTTTGAAGAGCGATGCATCGTGGGGATCGTATAGCGTCACTGTTCGTCGAAGGATTGTACCAGGCTGCGTCAGAGGAGGCGAGGGCTTGGTGGGCGGTGCGCGGCGAGAAGGACCAGTTCTTGGCGAGGCGGCGACAGAGGCATTGGAGCTGCGCGGTTGAGGGGAGTCGGGCTTTCTATGCAGACTATCGGCAGTGGAGTGGAAGACGATGGTGCCTGCCCAGATAGCCTCGAGCTGGCGCACAACAAGCGGATGGGCGAGAAACTTCTTTGCCTGAGCGCGAATGGCAATCTCAAGGGTCGAGATGCGCGCAGAGCGAGGCCCCTGTCTCGACCAATTTCGGCTGCCTGGGGTCATGTTGCCGCGTCCCGGCATGGCCAAGCCCTGCAAGGGATCGAAATCATAGGAGAGCGCATCAATCAGTTCACGGGTCGAAAACTCCTTGAGCAGCCTCACGGCCAGCAGCTCGCATATCAAAGCACGGGTCTTGCTAACTCCCACATTTCCCGGATTCTCCTCGCCCTCCTTCTTGAACTGCAGACAGTTTGCTAGCAGGCAGTAGAGCAGTCCGCGCGAGAACTGGTCGGAGCGAAGTTGCTGCTGGATGGGCTTGACGAGGAATTGTGAGACTTGGGGCGAGCGCAGTTGGTCCCAGGAGAGCGTCGTTTCACACCGCTGGACGAGGATGATGCGGATGGCGTGCGTGGTGTTGTAAATGGGTATGCGATCTATATGGGATGTCAGGAGGTTTGAAGACGAGCGGCATCTAGACGGTGCGCCTACCCAAGATTTCGGGGGAGAAGACTGGGAGCAGAGGCCCATCGCGCTGGCGGCGCTGAGGGTGGCGCTGGTGCTCGTCCTCATCCTCATACTCGTCATCGTCGGCGTCGAAATGGGCTACCGCGCCCGGGTCGTGGTCGTGGTCGTGGTCGGGGTGGTCCGACTCGTCTGCATTGTGGCGGCGGCGGTACCTGTCGATTGCGGCGAGCAGTGGTGTCGTCTCTGAGGGCCGGCGTGACTTTGAGGCGAAGAATGAGGAGAACATGGAGAGGGCCTCTTGTCTCCAGGGCGGTGGCGTCTGTCGTCAAAGTCGGAGCAGACCGAGGGGAGATAGGGAGGTCGGGAGGGTAGTCGGGGCTCGGTGGGTGGAGATGCTAGGCCAGGTTTCACCACGGGGTGGGAAATGAAGCACAGAAGAGGGCGATAAAAGCGCTCTTGCCCATTTTCGTGCCGCACATGGTCCACTGCCCAGATTTAGGCCGTCATGCGGCATCGTGCCGTCGAGGCATCATGAGGAAGGGTGAGACGCGACCGCCATGTCGCCTCGTCCATGTCGACACGGCTATGCAGCCAATGGGCGGCGGCGCGCACCACATGCAGCCAGGGCGTGCGAGCGTGGGCGGCGCGGAGGGCATACGACGGCCAGGTGAGACAGGCGCAAATGCGACCACGGCCTGCTCCAGTACACCTCTTTTCCTTTTCGCCCCTCGTCATCGACACCGGATGCCTGCATGGGGGTTGGCTTATCGCTCAAGTGGCGCGTACATCTGGGGTGCAGCATGCGCCCGCCCTCTACCGCCTCTGGCCTACCAGTAGCTGTCCTTACACTTACTCTCCTGGCACGTTAAAAACACCTCAGATCTTCACATGCTTGGCTGCCGGCTTTCTTACTTTTCCCAGTGCTAACCACTGCTGATACTACCCACTAGGCGCAAATACGCAATAGGACCCCGACGCCTCGCTCCCGCTGGGCTCAGCCGCAAGCCACGGAATGCAAAAGCTTCTGTCCTGCCAAATTGGACCTCTGGCCATGGGGGTGCCGTCATATGCCCCGCGCGGTCTGCGAGCATCTAGACGACAGCTTCCAAGATGCTGCGACGGGGCTCACTGCTCGCTACCACGCCGACGCGAGAGCCCTGCATGTTCCCTCGACAAGCACAAGCACGCCGACTAGATCTGTCTATTCCTAGTAATATCTACACCCCATGTACGATATCCCATTTGTCACCCTCCCGCTATCGGGCTTTGCGCCCGGCCATCGACGGCCTACTTACTTCCAATGCTCATGTCTGCTCCCTTACCCACCCACCCACCCACGCCGACAAAAAAATGCCGCCGCGCGTGAAAAAAAAAGAACCGACGACGGTGATGTAGTGCTGCAGCTGAACCGTTGGATCCTGCGCGCATCATGGACTCCACCGCACCCCCCGATCTTCGTCATTGGCAGTGCTGGCGAGACTGGCGACTTGGGATGCACACCGCCCTGCCACACCCCTGCGATCCCTTGCATCCAGCACGATGCGTATAGCGTCTCTGTCCATGTCCGCGTAGGCGCAGATCCTGCTTGAATACAGCAGGATATGCTTGTTTGCCAGCCTGCTGCATGACCACATACGTACGTACATATTTATCTCACTCACACTCAGCACCTCGCGCCGAGGCACAGTGTGGTAAAAATCCGTAGTCCGAACATACATCGGACATGAGGGGCAATCGGCGTTCTGCCTTCTCTGCTATCGATAAGCCCATGTCACGTGCACTCTTTGTTGACCTTTGACATCCCAACATGTATCACCCTAGCCCAGAGATATCGAGCTAGGACGTTTGTGTATGTCGAGGCTGACTCGACACCAAATCATGACATTCCGTTTTTGTAGAAAAAAAAATCATCTACGTACACATCCAGTGGCCGAGATACCTCGATTCGCAGGTTCGGCACCATAGACAAGCCTCGTCATTCGCCCAGGTGGGGCAGACCAATCAACCCCGCCATACACCTGCAGCTAGTCCGCTTTCGTTTTTTTCAACTGCAGTGAGACCCCGAAACTTTTTTTTTTCTTTTCCGTTGAGCCCTCAAGAACTCTTCTCTCCCCTCAAATTGCCCGGCAGTCTCGCACCTCCCAGGGTTCCATAGCCCTAGAGCTGTCTCTTGTATCCTCAATTATGGCATCCCTGCCCGAACCAAGCCACAATCTGGCACTCGAGCTTCAAGATGGCTACGTCTGCTTTGGACAAAGCTTCGGTGCCGACAAGAGCATCTCTGGAGAGCTTGTCTTCCAGACTGGTATGGTCGGCTACCCCGAGTCTGTAACAGATCCTTCATACAGAGGCCAAATCCTGGTCATTACATTTCCTCTGGTGGGCAACTATGGCGTCCCGTCTCGAGAGGACATGGACAGTCTGCTCAAGGAAGTTCCAGCACATTTCGAGTCTAGAGAGATTCACATTGCTGGACTCGTCGTGGCTACATATGCCGGCGAGGAATACTCCCACCACTTGGCCACCTCTTCGTTGGGTGCATGGCTCAAGGAACAGGGCGTGCCCGCCATCACAGGCGTCGACACGCGAGCGCTGACCAAGCGTATCAGAGAAGAGGGAAGTATGTTGGGACGTCTTCTGCAGAGGACCTCACCAACTCCCTCTGTTGCTCTTACTGAGAGCGAGGCCGACTGGAGGAGCAGCTTCGAGCAGATTGAATGGGTAGATCCCAACAAGAAGAACCTTGTCGCCGAAGGTACGTTCGACCTACTTCCAAAGACATGCCCTTCCTGACACTCTCTAGTCTCCATCAAGGAGCCAAAGCTTTACTCTCCCGATCCCGCGACTGCGCTCAAGCACCCCTCTGGCCGTCCGGTTCGTGTAGTAACCGTTGATGTGGGTCTCAAATACAACCAATTGAGATGCTTGGTACGAAGGGGAGTCGAAGTCCTGCAGGTCCCTTGGGACTACGACTTCCCCAAGCTTGCCGGCAAGGATTACGATGGTCTCTTCATCTCCAACGGTCCCGGTGACCCAGCCATGATGGAGTCTACAGTACAGCACATCAAGACCGCCATGGACGAGGCCCGGACACCTATCTTTGGTATCTGTCTTGGCCACCAACTGCTCGCTCGAGCGGCTGGCGCCAGTACTATCAAGATGAAATTTGGTAACCGCGGCGCCAACATCCCCTGCACAAGCTTGCTCACTGGAAAGTGCCACATCACCTCGCAGAACCACGGATATGCTGTCGACTCCAAAACTCTGCCCGGTGGCTGGGAGGAGCTCTTCGTCAACGCCAATGACGGCAGTAACGAGGGTATCCGACACCAGCAAAAACCATACTTCAGTGTACAATTCCACCCTGAACACACCCCTGGCCCCCGTGACACGGAGTACCTCTTCGATGTCTTCATCAGCACTATCCAAAAGGCCATGACATCACCAGAGGTCATGTCACAACCAGTTGAGTTCCCTGGTGGTACTTTTGAGGAGAACAGGAAGCTCACCCCTAGGGTCGACGTCAAGAAGGTCCTTGTTCTTGGAAGTGGAGGTTTGAGTATTGGACAGGCTGGAGAGTTTGATTACTCCGGTAGCCAGGCTATCAAGGCTCTGAAGGAAGAAGGTATCTACACTATCCTGATCAACCCCAACATCGCCACCATCCAGACCTCAAAAGGTCTCGCCGACAAGGTCTACTTCCTGCCTGTCAACGCAGACTTTGTCCGCAAGGTCATTCAGAAAGAGCGACCTGATGGTATCTACGTAACCTTTGGTGGTCAGACTGCACTTCAGGTCGGTATTCAGCTCAAGGATGAATTCGAAGGTCTTGGTGTCAAGGTTCTTGGTACACCAATCGACACCATCATCACCACTGAGGACCGCGAGCTCTTTGCCCGTAGTATGGAGTCTATTGGAGAGAAGTGCGCCAAGTCTGCATCTGCCAACAATGTTGAAGAAGCCATGAAAGCGGTAAAGGACATTGGCTTCCCTGTCATTGTCCGAGCTGCATATGCTCTGGGTGGACTTGGTAGTGGTTTTGCCGACAACGAGCAACAACTGCTCGATCTGTGTAACAAGGCTTTTGCAGCCAGTCCCCAGGTGCTTATTGAGCGCAGTATGAAGGGATGGAAGGAAATCGAGTACGAAGTCGTCCGTGATTGCCGGGACAACTGCATCACCGTTTGTAACATGGAGAACTTCGACCCGCTAGGTATTCACACTGGAGACTCTATTGTTGTTGCACCCTCGCAGACCCTTTCGGATGCCGACTACAACATGCTCCGAACGACTGCCGTCAACGTTATCCGCCACCTTGGTGTTGTTGGCGAGTGCAACATTCAGTATGCACTCAACCCATTCTCTAAAGAGTACTGCATTATCGAGGTCAACGCTCGTCTTTCGCGTTCTTCTGCTCTTGCTTCCAAGGCCACTGGATATCCTCTTGCATTCGTCGCTGCCAAGCTTGGTCTGAACATCCCTCTCAACGAGATCTCCAACTCAGTCACACGCTCGACTTGCGCTTGCTTCGAACCATCGCTCGATTACGTTGTGGTCAAGATCCCTCGCTGGGATTTGAAGAAGTTCACCCGCGTATCGACCCTTCTCGGCTCATCTATGAAGAGTGTTGGAGAGGTCATGAGTATTGGCCGGACGTTCGAGGAGGCCTTGCAGAAGGCTATTCGTGAGATTGACCCCAGCAACCTCGGCTTCAACGAGACCCCTGCCTTGATGGAGATCGATCAGGAACTGCAAACACCTTCCGATCAGCGCCTCTTTGCCATTGCCAATGCTATGAAGGCCGGATACAGTGTCGACAAGATCTGGGAAATGACCAAGATCGACAAGTGGTTCCTCAGCCGTCTGAAGTCTCTAAGTGACTTCGAGAAATTGATGGCGGACTACGACACTGTCAGCATCACAAAGCCCTTGATCAAGAAAGCCAAGCAACTCGGATTCTCTGACCGCCAACTTGCCAAATTCTGGGCATCTAATGAGCTTGCTGTACGCCGTGTACGTGTCGATGCTGGCATTTTCCCTGTTGTCAAGCAGATCGATACCGTCGCTGCTGAGTTCCCTGCGGTAACCAACTACCTTTATCTCACATACAACGGCACTGAGCACGACATCAGCTTCAACGACAAGGGTATCATGGTGCTCGGATCCGGTGTGTACCGTATCGGATCTTCTGTTGAGTTCGACTGGTGCTCCGTCCGTGCCATCCGCACATTGAGGCAGCAGGGCTTCAAGACCGTCATGTTGAACTACAATCCCGAGACCGTATCCACTGATTACGACGAGGCTGACCGTCTCTACTTCGAGTGCATCTCTTTGGAAACCGTGCTGGACATTTACACTATTGAGAACTCAAGCGGCGTAGTCGTGAGTATGGGTGGTCAGACTTCAAACAACATTGCCCTACCGCTGCACCGTATGAATGTCAAGATCCTTGGTACCTCCCCAGAGATGATCGATACCGCAGAGAACAGGTACAAGTTCTCTCGTATGCTCGACCGTATCTCTGTAGACCAGCCTGCCTGGAAAGAGCTCACAAGTATTGAGGAAGCAACCGAGTTCTGTGAGCGGGTATCTTACCCCGTCTTGGTTCGTCCTTCCTACGTCTTGTCTGGAGCCGCCATGAACACCGTCTACTCAAAGCACGACCTGGCCAATTACTTGAACCAAGCGGCAGACGTGTCTAAGGAGCATCCTGTCGTTATTACAAAGTACATTGAGAATGCCAAGGAAATCGAGATGGATGCTGTTGCTAACAAGGGTACGATGATCGGACACTTCATCTCCGAACACGTAGAGAATGCTGGTGTTCACTCTGGTGATGCCACTTTGATTCTGCCTCCTCAGGATCTCGATCCCGAGACCGTGAGACAGATCGAAGATGCCACTCGCAAGATTGGAGCAGCTCTCAACATTACAGGACCGTACAACATCCAGTTCATTGCAAAGGACAACGAGATCAAGGTCATCGAGTGCAACGTTCGTGCCTCCCGATCTTTCCCCTTCGTCTCCAAGGTTATGGGTGTCGACCTGATTGAAATGGCTACCAAGGCCATGGCTGGTCTGCCTGTCCAGGAGTACCCACCGGTCAATATTCCCCCAGAATACGTTGGTGTCAAGGTTCCTCAGTTCTCATTCTCTCGTCTCTCTGGTGCCGATCCTGTTCTTGGTGTAGAGATGGCTTCCACCGGTGAAGTTGCTTGCTTTGGTCGTACCAAGTACGAAGCCTATATTAAGGGTCTCATCGCCACTGGCTTTAGGCTGCCAAAGAAGAACATCCTCCTGTCGATTGGTTCGTTCAAGGACAAGTTGGAGATGCTTCCATCAATTGAGCGCCTGCACAAGATGGGATACAATCTCTTCGCGACTGCTGGAACTGCCGATTACATTCAAGAGCATGGCATTCCAGTCAAGTTCCTGGAAGTCCTTTCTAGTGGCGAACACGACGAACAGAAGCAAGAGTACTCGCTAACGCAGCATTTGTCCAACAACCTTATCGATCTCTACATCAACCTGCCATCAAGCAACCGCTTCCGCCGACCTGCCAACTACATGAGTAGGGGTTACCAAACAC